GAGCGCGCTACCACTTGAGCCACATCCCCAGCCCCACATGTGTTCATAATAGATTTTTTTCCTAGCTTTTCTGCAAACATAAAAACTCAAAATAAAAAATAAGCCATATTAGGTATTTAAAGAAAAAAACACCTTAAGTCAGATCATGTTACTCTTCTGCTTTAAGCCCTCTAATGGTAAAAGGCTACCACACCCTCACCAAAACCTACGTGGTCCTTCAGGATCTGCCCCTAACCAAGGTTCTTCTTACCTCTTGCTCAATCTACTCCAGCCACACTGTTTTTCTTTGTGTTTCTGGAATGTGTCATATCTGCCGCAGGGCCTGCTTCTTTGCATCCTATCAGATAGCATTATCTGATATTGCATTTTGTATTCTTTCGCTTGTGGTCTCTTTCCCTACCCCCTTGTAGAATGTAAACACAATGACAATCAAGACTTTATGAACTCTGTTCACTGCTGTGTCCTCATACCTAGAAGAGTGACAGGCAGAGAGACAATAAATGTTGAATGGTGAAAAAAAAATTGGTACTATGAGATCTTTACTCCCAAAGACTCCCTATCTAGAAGGGGAAGATGTTTTCTATACAAATAACTGTAATGTAAACACAGAGGTCTAGACAAAGTATGAGGAGGCTTCAGAGTAAGGAGAGGCACTCTATTGTCTGGGGAATCAGGGAAGGCTTGAGCTGTATCTCAAAGGATGCAGCAGAATCTGGGTGGGCAGACCTAAGCTAAGGGAGGCTAGGCATGGAAGGAGAGTGTGTGGGCTGAGTAGAGGTGTGGTAAGGAGTCCTATCTGGTTGGTGTGGAAGGGAAGTGCAGAGGATCCTAAATGGGGTTCTAAATGGGGGAGTTTGAATGGCAGACTGAGGTGTTAGACCTGACTGATCAGAGAGGAGAGCAGATTTGCTACCCATCGAGTAGCCAGCACAGACAGTGGCCACCAACTGTAGGCCACTGAGCTAAGAGTATAGGAAACATGGGAGCAATACGTTAAGACCAGCCTTTGTATTGGTTCCTCCCACTTCACTGCCTGGGGTAACTGGTCCCTGGTTGAAGCTAGTCTTTGTCTCCCTCCACTCTCCATTCATGCTTTCACCTCTTAGTCCCTATCTATACTTCATGTTAATAGATCTCCTTGTCTCTTTGACTCTGTTCTTGCTTCTCATAGGGGCAGCCTTCTTCCTGGTGAGTGGCAGGATCTGGGTGTGAGTCTGCCTGCCATGAAATGTTACTTATCATCATTCCACTCCCAATCCTCTGCTCCCAACCCAGGCACAGAAATTCCTGCTGGGCCTGAAGAACAATTTGCCATCTACCAAGGTCTTGGACAACACATGGCCAGCGGCCCCCTACAAGTGCTTCAACAGGGCTAATGAGGAGCTGCATCAGCTCTTCCACCAATGGAAGGTAAGGACAGGCACCTCTCCTCTCCTTTGTGGTTTTCTCATCTCCATCTTCTGCCTCCCTCTTCTACTCACCCCACCCCCATTTTTGTTTATTGTAGTAAAATATGGATTACATAACATTTACCATTTTAGCTATTTTCATGTGTACAGTTCAGTGGTGTCCAGTACCTTCATGTTGTTGTGCAATCATCACCATTATGTATTTTTCTTCACCCCAAACTAAAATTCTGTACCCATTAAGCATTAACTCTTCATTACCTCCCCCCACATACCTTATAATCTATTTCCTGTTTCTATGAATTTGACTATCACAGATACCTCCTATTACTTGGAATCGTATAGTATTTGTCTTTTTGTGACTGGCTGATTTTACTCAGTGTGATAACTTTTGTTCTTTTATTCAGGAAATACTTGTTGAGCCCCCGTCTGAGCTAAGCCTTGCCCTGTGTGCTGAGCCTATGCCTCATGATGCTCATACATGATAGTTTCCATTTCCCTCTCCAGCTTCTTCCCTCCTCTTCAGCAATCCTCAGCCCTGGACCTCTCCTGAAGTGCACATACTTCTGAAGCGTCCAGTGCCTGTCCTTTTCCCTTTGTTCCTCTTCTCCTCTAATATGTGCTAGTCCATGTCTTACCTTCCTCCCCAGCTCTGCCTGCCCTCACCTCCATGATCTTAGCTGCTGTCCCCCCTTCCTTACAGTGCAAGAAGTTCCGCGATCAGCTGTCCCCCAAGCAGGTGCAGATGCTGAGGGAGAAGCTCTGTGCCAGCCAACTGTTCAAGGGCAAGAAGGCCTCCTACCCCCAGAGGTGAGGGCTCAGAACCTGCACAGCTAGTTCCATCCAGAGGTGGTTCTCAAACTTGAGCCTGCATCAGCGTCACCTGGCAGGATTGTAGACACCCAGATGTTGTGCCCTGACTTACCAGGTCTGCCAGTGGTGCTGATATTGTTGGTCCTGGATAACATCTATGAACCACTGAGACAAAGGATATGATGAAGGGTGGGGGAACGGCCCAGAGAACTAGGATAGATACTCTGAGGGTGGGGAGGTGCAAGGTCGTATCCCCACTGTGTACCTTCCATGTGTCCTTAGTGTCCCCATTCCATTCCGTGGTGACTACATTGGGCTGCAAAGTAACCCCAAGCTGCAGAAGCTGAAGGGCAGGGAGGAAGACCCGATTCTGATGGCAGAGACTGTGAAGAAGGTCAACCGTGGCAATGGCAAGGTGAAGGCCTGCATGCTGAATTCTTCCCCACAGCCCCATCCAGATCTGGGGCCAGTGGGTGGCAGAGAACAGGGCTGTGTGTGCTCTGCCAAGTAGAACGGACTGGAGGCTGATCCTGCCCATCCTCACTCTCTCCTGTTCCATCCCTAGACTTCTGCCCGGATTCTCCTCCTAACCAGGGGGCATGTGATTCTCACAGACACCAAGAAGTCCCAGGCCAAAACTGTCATTGGGCTGGACAGTGTGGCTGGGGTGTCAGTCACGAGCCTCCAGGATGGACTCTTTGGTTTGCATCTGAATGAGGTATCTGAGCTGATGGGGCCAAAGAGGGTGGGCATCTGGGGCTGATGGGGGCCAGACCTCTCACTCTGGATCTTTCATAACTCTTAACCTACTTCTGAGGAGGAAAAAAATGAATCCCTTTCCTGCTGTTTTTTCCTCTTGTAAGATGTCACCAGTGGGATCCAAGGGTGACTTTCTGTTGGTCAGTGACCATGTGATAGAACTGCTGACAAAAATGTACCAGGCTGTGCTGGATGCCACGCAGAGGCAGCTTTCTGTCACTGTGACTGAGAGGTAAGGCCATGGAGCTGGTGGTGAGGGACAGCTTAAGACAGATGACCGGGCTGATGGTCATTGTGACCGGGGAAATTTGTGCAATAAAAGTGAAGGATGCTATGTCAGGGCAGGTCTTGGCAGTGTTTCTTAGTCCCTTACCCAAGTTCTCTGAGACCTTTAGTCATCTCACAGAGGGTGGGGGATGTACCGTGTGCTGGCTTCAGGGCCAGGAGAGGAAACCATCATGGATATGTAGGAGTAGGGCTAAGGAGATGGGGGCACTAGCTTTAGTTTTTCTGTCTGTTCCCCCTCCAGGTTCTCATTGAGGTTCAAGGAGAGCAGTGTGGCTGTCAAGGTCATCCAGGGCCCTGGGCGTGGTGAAAAGAGCAAGCTTATTTGCAAGAAGAAGGGGAGTGACGGCCTGGAGGTGACTGTGTAGTGAGGACAGGCTCCCGCAGAGACACAGCTTCTTTCTCTGGGAGCAGCACTAACTCCCTCGGCCTACCTCTGTGGGGCATCTTGTGTCTAGCCCCTCTGATCATGAGGTGGGCCTTGGAGACAGAAGGACTCTTGAAGAGGACTTTCCCAACCCTTTCAGAGCTCTCCTCTAAACATTGCTCCCTCCTGCCCTGAGCCTCTATGCCCACTAATAAAATGTGGTTCAAAAAGGTTTAGTCATTGTGGGTGAGTCCCTGTTCTCAATCTCCCCACACAGTTGCATTTAGATCCCTGTCCCTCATGCCCTTTCCCCTCCCTCTGGCTCCTCAGAGCCAGCTAGTACGGATAATAAGGGAAAAGAAGGGAAATTGTCTCTGAGCTCCTTGACCGGCTGAGCTCTGGGGGGAGGGGTTTGGAGAGAGGGGTGGGGGTGGGGCCTTCGGGGACAGTGCTTAGGTCTCAGGTGGCCGATGGGCTGATTCATTAAATGTGTCCCTGGAAGGGAAGAAGTGAGGATCCCTTCTTGGCAGAGACGGGATTGCTTTGAAGACAGCCTGACAAGAGGCCCAGGGCTGGAAGGCTCATGTAAGTTGAGGTGAGCTGGGTAATTCAGGGTCCCCTGCACCCAGGAGCTCCCATCACCCCTCCACCCCCAGGCTCAGCACTGGACTCATCACACCTGCCTGCCTTATACCCACTGCCTTTCCACACATCTAGAATGCCAAGCTGCCGCCAACAGTTATCTTGCTAATCACTGTTCCACAGCTGGGGCCTGCAGCTGGTGGCACTTGACAAGAGGAGTTTCCCCTACCCCTATGATTTAACTCCTTTCTTCTTTATTTCTACTGTGTCATTGTCATTATCTTTTTCTTAGTCCCCAACTGTCTTATACTATCTCATTGTCCCTGTTCATGTGGGCTCTAATATCAATATATAATCATATTTAATAGAATGCTTTATATATTTTCCCACTCCCCTTAACATCTGTTTCCTCATAGATTCTGTCTTTTCCGACCTCTTACTTTCTGTTCTTTACCTTTGGGAAACAGGCTGACCATATACTCACAGTGAAATTTAGGTTTGCCTTCTATAAGAGCTTAAAAAGCGCTGCCTTTATTACTGTCTCTGGAAGTCTCTTCCTCCTTCCATAACCTCCACCTTCTCTATCTCTTCCTTGCCTCCTCCGCTAAGCTCTGAGCTTGCTGTGCCTTGAGGCTGGGGTCTGCCTCACCTGGCTCCCATCAGCAGGCAGCTCACGGCTCCAGGTAATCATGCTGTCGGGGAGACCTGATTAACTTCTCTTCCTGCCTGCAGATTAATCTTGCTTTCTGAGCTGGAGCCCCATGCTTCTGCACATCCTGCTCTGAGCTGAGATGGGACCCAGGGTGTCAGTTCTTTCCAGGTGGGTGAGGGGCTGGGCCCAGATTGTGGGGGCTATATCTAGATGAGGGGCAGCTCCAGCTCTGGCCAGCCTTCCTCTACCTGATGACTCCCCCATCCTTGACTTCTCAGAATCAGGCTGAAGAGATCCTGTCTGGCTGAGCAGGGGGTGGGAGGTGTGGGGGGTGATGACCTGATCTTGATCGCCCCCGCTCTCTGCCTCATCTCCTGCTCCCAGGGCCCAAATTGTCGTCACTTTCCCAGTGAAGTGTCTGGTCATTTTCAGAAGCAATTTCAGGAGAAAATGCAGCTGCTGCTCCCTATCCTGCTTTTCTTTTCCCAGGGCTGAGGGAACTGTCAGCTCTCTGACCAGGGAAGGAGGGGGTGGGTGTAGGGGGAGGAATAGATCTCTGGCCTACCTGTATCAGTCATGTGGGTAGATGATGGTTTAAGGATGGATGGGGCTCCTCTTCTCCTTTATTCTTCCTTCTCTCCATTTTTCTCTTTCCTGGTGTTGCTTTTCTTTGCTTCTGAAGCCCGGGAATCTGAAAACTACAGGTCTCAGTTTTCCCCACCTGTGTTACAGGGTTTGGAATTGGCTTTCTCATCATGAAGAAGCAAGGGTTCTGCATTAGCCTTCTCTCCAAACCCTCCCCACTGTCTGCTCAGCATTCTCAAAATCTACACTGTTCCATCTTCTGAGAGGCACAGCCTTTCTGGGTTCCCCTGACCACCATGAGGAGCCATTCTAACATATCACAGCTTAAACCAGCTCTGGCACAGTCCTGATTTTCTTTCTCTGGCTCTGCTAATTTTCTTCACAGGCTCTAAGAGGCCCTAAGGGGATCTTCCTGATCAACCTGCTCTGTGGGTTGTCTCCAGCTGTCTCTTGACTGCAGGCATGGAAGGTCACAGATGCTGCTGATTTTCCATTCTTCCCTGGTATCTCCAATCAGTGTCTCATATGGCCCTAGCCCTACCCTCACACCCAGCACCTCTCCAGGATGTAGAGGAAGTCCACAAGTGGAGCATGTGGTGGTGGACAGGTGCAGGTCTTCATGTGTGCACAAGGTCTACCTCCACCTCTAATCCCTAGAGAAAGACTGACAAAACCTGTCTCAGCACATCTGTACACACCTTTTCCTTGCCTTGCCCTCAATAATGAGGGGGATCTGTTGGGGGGTGAGGTGGGATCTGCTGCTAGGGAGCCTGGACTCCAAGTACCATCTACTCTAGGCTGGTGACAGCATCTGAGATGTGGCTCACATAATGAGTAGATATTCAAAGAAAAAATACCTAGATGCTCTATAGCTGCAATAGGCAATTTACATGTCATTTGCATATGATTCATGGGCAAAACGAAGCTGCCTGCTACAGTTCTCCAATGCCTCCCTCCTTCATCACTTTTCTAACTTAGGTTAACATCAGCTCTTTCAAGTCTTAGCTAATCCCAGAGATCAAGGGTGATCAGCTTTCCCTGCCATCCCTTTGCTCCCCACAGCCTTGGCTCTCACTATCCTCTGTGAGATGCCGCATCATCAAAGGACATTATTCATGGTGGACCTTTGCTGAAGCCCTGCTTCTCTGGTGCCAGGGCTTGGGGGCAGGGACACATGGGATAGTTGGGGAGGGGTCGATACAGAGATGGGGCCCAGGAGGCTATTGATCCAACTCCTCCTTCTGCACACCCAGCTCCCTCCACCTGCCTAGGTTGGGCTTTTAACTTCAGACTGATGGGAGAGGAGGCAGAGAGATGACAGGTCAATTAGGAAGAACACCTGGGCTTCTCAAAAGAATAAACCAGTCATGCCATTTGTATGTAAACTGCCATCCACTTCTGTTCTTCATCCCACTAAATGCTTCCAGCCCTGGGTTCTGGCCCATGTTCTTTGCCCACACACCCCTGCAATTAGCTGGGTAATGAGAAGCTTTCAATCAGGCCCCATTAGCCTCTCACATAATAAAGAGGACTTGGTACCCAGCTGCTGCCCTCAGTCAGGGTGAACATGAGGCCATATGCAGCCAGGGTAACTTTTGTCAATATAGCCCAAATCCTAGAGTGGGTAGAGTGGTGAGTAAGGATTTCAGGATCCCATCAACACTTGAGAGACTCCATGAAGGATCCATGATTTGGGCTGAGTTGACTCTGGCTTCCCTTTTCATTTTATTGAGCACCTATTGTATGCCAAATACTATAGGATATAATAGCAAACAAAACAGACAAAAGTGGGCTGGGGTTGTGGCTCAGCGGAAGAACACTTGCCTAGCACGTGCAATGTGCTGGGATTAATCCTCAGTACTACACAAAAATAAATAAATAATAAATAAATAAATGTATTGTGTCCAACTACACCTAAAAAAAGAATATTAAAAAAAAAACAGACAAAACTTCTTGACCTTGTGATGCTTATATTCTAGTGAAAGTAGTGTCTGGTAAAGAGACAATAATAAGTAATTAGCATAATGGATGTAATGAATGTGCATGAAGAAATAAAAACAGGAGGGAGATGTAGGGAGTATTGGGGTGGTAATTATTTAAATAGGATGATTAGGGAAGACCTTGTTAAAAGGAGTCTTTGAGGTAAATGTGAGATAGAGATACTGTTCTCATCCCAAGATGTAGAAAAGTAAATGGTCCCATATTTCAAAGTCTCAGAGAGGTGGGCCATCTGCCCCTTTGGGAGTGCCAAGTGTTCTCTCACAGGTCAATGTTCATAACAATGCAGTAAAAAGAGTGGAAGAGATGAAGTGAGAAGAACCTGAATTCGTGGTTGTTCTGTATCAACTGGTAGCTGTGTGTATGGGAGTGAATGACCGAACCTCTTGAGCCTCAGTTTCTTCATCTGAAAAAATAGACATCTTTCTTACCTACTTCCATGATGGAGTTGCTGAAAACCAAATGATTGCTCCATGCCAGAGTACTTTGTGAATGCTGAAACCCTGTGCCAGGGAGAATACTAAGGTTAATGCCTTGCTTGGAAGCTGGCTTTCACTACAGATCTCCCCCATCTCTTGGAAAACAACTCCTTGCTCTGAGTCTGGACTCTGTTCCTGACCTGACTCTGCCTCTCCTCTGGGACTTTCTCCCTTGGGTGGCAATAGGCAGATAAATCCCTTCTTGGGTGTGGGGTGTGAACAGAGGGTTGAAAGGTCAGAGGAGAAGATGCTCAAGCGGCAGGGAGGCAGATTAGGGCAGGGAAAAATGTAACTTTGAAGGAAAAGGGAAGCAATGAGATCAATGCTGGAGCACAGTGGAGCAGGAGAGGGATGGGGGACCATTCAGTGGAGTGTTCATACCTCCTCCCTGGGGGATAGAGGGTAGAATTGTAAAAGATGTAGCTAAGTCTGACTATTTCAGGGTCAGGAAGGAGAGGGGAGGGAGGCAGACAGGGCTCTCTGCACTTAGCAACAGGAGAGAAGCATTGGTACTCACTGGGGTGAGGACTATTGTGATGGGGCAGTCCCCCCTCGGAGGAGGACAGAGAGAATGCAGATGGGAGGGGATGCCAGACTCACCCCCAATCCTCAGGTAGGGGGCCTGCACCTGGTGATCCTGATGTGACAGGGACAGAGAGGCACTTCCTGTGCTGTTCCAGCCTGGCTGTCAAGCTTGAAGGCTTAAAGGGCAAGGAGCTAGGGGGTGAACATGGAGGAAAGGGGTCCAGGGTCCACACCTATTGAGCTAGACCTGGTATGGTGATTTTATGACAAATCATACACAACAACATTCCTTAGAATGCCCACCTTCTGTGCCATTGGAAAGTGGGCTGCTGGACAGCTCCAGCTTACTGCCAGATCGTGTGTGTGTGTGTGTGTGTGTGTGTGTGTGTGTGTGTGTGTGTGTGTCTGGGTATGTGGCTGCAGTCTGCGTCCTCCCACCCCCACTATCTTCCCCCCTCCCCTCCAGCCACCCTGGGATTGGTGACTCTCAGCCCCTCCCCTTGGCTCCCCCAGACCCTCCCAGAGCCTTAATCGGGGAGCTGGGACTGAGTTCCTGCAACCTTCCAGATCCTGCCACCATTTCTCTTTGCCTCAGCATCAGCAGCACCGGCAGCACCAGCTTGTGGGGAGTGGGGAGTCTCCACTAATCAACTCCCTGATCTGCCAGTCCCCCCCAGCACCAGGCTCAGAGCTGCCCCACAGGTAGGCACAAAGGGAAGAGTGTTGGATAGTCTGAAGCTGGCACCAAGGGTCAGGGGCCAGAGTCAGGAGGGAATAAAGGAAATAGCATTCTGATAGGTGAGCAGAGTAGTGAGCAGAAAGTGTCTGTAGGGTAGCGGGCTGCTAATATTTGGAGCTTTAACAGACTGATTATTCCACAGCAGAAAGTTTTTGCATAAGTCTTGGGGTTATCTAGTCCTGAAAAATAGCCTTCAGGACCTCTTTTTAAACTGATTAAGGAAACAGACTAGTTTATGTCGTATAAATCATCATCTTTGTTGGGAGCTAGAGGCCGGCAGCATTTACCATTGCTCATTGCCAAGGGTACATCCTGGGGTGATGTCTAATGAGGGAGCAGGAAAACTGAGCCCAAAGGATGAACCCCTGGCTCAGAGATGTGTTTTATTCTTTTCTGACTACGACTAGCATGGGAGAACTGGCGGCTGGGAAAGCAGGTTGAGCCCAGCTGCTGGTCACAAATGCCTCTTGTGTTTTCATGGAGCTGTATCTTCTTCCCCTTCCTGCCTTGCCCAGGGCTTCTCTTTGCCCTCTAAATCACCATGAGGAGTGCCCTGCTGTTCGCAGTCATCCTGGCCCTTGGTCTGGCTCAGACCTTTGGGGCTGTCTGTGAAGAGTCACAGGAACAGGTGGTGCCTGGCGGGAGCCACAGCAAGGTAAGGCAGCTATGGCAGAGTCCTGGGAACATCATGGACACCTGGGTTTCTGCCTGTCTAGAGTAGGGAAGAAGGGAGGAGGGCAGGGTTGGGAGTTACGTGGGTTCTGTGTCCTAGGGTGTTTTGTCTTCTTTTGGGTTTCTGCCTCTCTGATCCTCTCACGTTCCCATTGTCTCAGGTCTTTAAGTATCTTTGTCTCTGCATGTCTTTGTGCATAAAATGTGTCCAACAAATATGTTGGTTGATCATCAGGAGGCTTGGTGATTTGATAGTCCTGTGAGAGGTGAGCTAAGGTGGTCTAAGGTTCTGTAGGGTCTGGCTCAGATTCTATACTTGGCAAGGGCAGATCTCATTTACTCCCTGGATAGTAGGAAATGCAGAATGTCTCTCCCAAATGATCATTTGCATACTATTTCACCTATCAGTTATGTGTATTATCTTATTTTTAAAATGAAAATAAATTGTCTTTTCCTCCACTTATCCACCTCTTGTAATCTTGGGTACTTGTAAAATCTCAATCGGTCTCCTGCCCTCCTCTACCTTTGCTGCCTCTAGCCTCTGCTTAAATGGAATAACAAAACAAAAACAAACAGAACAAAATAAAACCCCAAAAGTCAGAATGAGCCCTGATTTCCAAAGTTCCTCTAAGAAAAAAAAATAGGAACTGCCAGGGTTAGGGTGCAGGGAGAGTGCAGGGAAGAAGTCTTTAGAAGGTTTTGAAATGACAGCAATTACACTGGTACAAATGCTTTTAAGATGATTATGGGTAGAGTTTATTACAAATTCAGTGTGCAAAGTCTAACCGCCTCTCCAGCTCCAATCTGTTTAACATCTCATTACAAGAGCTGGGCAGCAGAGTATTTGAACAATTTGGGGAAAGTGTCTGCTGGGCCAAGAAGAGAGACAAAAAGAGATTGCAGGGCAGCCTTGCAGGTGGCAGCAGCTGCGCCAGATCCAAAAGCCCTGAACCCATTCAGAATCACCCAGGAGTGCCAGATATGGGCTGGACACTGTGTTTCGTGCCCCAAAGTTCCCGTCTGGGGCAGTCAGAGTGTCTGGGTTACTAAGAGACAAACCTGCTGCTGGATTTTGGGTAATAAGATGTCCCTTCTGCTCTTCCTGGCAAATGAAAGACGAATGCCTTCTAGCCCCTTCTCCCCACAGGTTGTGAAGATGGGGAAATTGAGGCAGGAAGAGGGTAGAATATATGTGTTCCGTTAGAGTGCCCAGGCAACT